TCTTTCTATCATTTTGAATAAACCAAGGTGCTTGTGTGTCTCTACCATCTCACTAACGCTAACTCCTTTTATAACAGAGAACAAACTTAAGTGCAGCCCTTTTTCAGACCACGGTAATTTGCTAGGACTTAATAAAGTTGCTTCATTTTCATTGTATTTATTTATTTATTTATTTGGCTAGCTGGCAATGGGATCTGAACCCTTGACCTTGGTGTGATCAGCACCACACTCTCCAAGTCAGCTAACTGGCCAGGCTGTATTTATTTTTAAGGTTGTGTTCTATCTATGGCAATTGATATTGGTTTCCATTCATGGTAATGATATAAAGTTTCTTTTTAAAATAAGCATTAAGTTAAAAAGTGAGTTAATTTAAAGGAAAAAAATAAGTAAACAATAGTATAATGTGCTGGTAAACCATCTCTCTGAGAAAAAGGAAGTCCTGATTTGTAGTGTGTGCTGATTTCCATGGTGTAAATTCTCCCACCATCCCTCTTCCAAGTGACCTCGGTGCTGGCACTGGATGCCGAGCTGGGAAGAGACACGGAGGATGAGCAAGTCCTCTGAGCCTGTGCAGCTGGCTCCAGCTCACCACTGGGTGGGGCTCAAATCTAGCAAAACCCAGGAAGGGGGCAGGCAATGGCCGAAGCTTGAGAAATGCCGTTTTTACAGTCACTTTTTGTATGAATCTTATTTCCCACAGTAGAGAGCAAGGGCCTTGAGGGTACTGGCCTCTTCTTACTCATTTTTGCAACCCTGCAGTAGCTGGTGGGGGGTTCGTGGGGGGCACCCCTCACCAGGCTGAACCTTCTGGGAGAGGGACTGAGTGATCTGCTCCTTTACCTTAGGTTGGCGGTGACTTGGAGTGACCTCGAGTTCTTGTCTGTTGGTAACTCAGCTCCAGACAGGGGTGTGGCCCTGGGTGGAGGACACAAGGAGGCACAGGATGATAGGAGGGGACTCTCACACATGTCAACTGGGACTTTACATTATGTTTTCGTTCAAATGCGCTTTTCCCTCCAGAGGTGTGAGTTGGGGCTAATATGAGAACAGATGCAAAAGGAGAGATTTAGCACCTTGTATCAATTTGCTAGAGCTGCGCTAACAATGTACCACAAATCCTGTGGTGAGAAATTCATTGACTCACAGTTCTGGAGGCTAGAAATCCAAAATCAAGGGGTTGGCAGTGTTGGCTCCTTCTGAGAGCCGTGAGGGAAGGATCTGTTCCGTGCCTCTCTCCTTAGCTTGTGCATGGCCGTCTTCTCCCTGTGTCTCTTCACTGATCTTCCCTCTGTGCATGCCTGTCTGTGCACAAATGCCCCCTTTTTATAAGGACACAGTCATATTGATTAGGGTCTACCCCAGTGGTCTCAACTTCAAATCGATTACCTCTGTAAAGACCCTATTGCCAAATGAGGTCACATTCTGAGGTGATGAGAGTTAGGACTACAACATATCTTTTTTTGGTGGGGATGGGGGACACAAATCAACCCATAATAGGCCTTGAGATTGCTTCTGGAAATTCTTTGATGGGAAGTGGTCCCCATCAGGGTCTTCAGTCATAGCAATTGAGCTGCTGGCTCTGTCTACAGAATAGCATCTCTTCCATACGTGCCCTGAGAATTTATCCTGCTCAGTGAGGGGCAGACCCTCCAGGGAACAACCATATAATAATTTTGTCATTACAGAAGAGATTTCCTATCTGCAAGTAGCTTGCGAGACTTTTGTGCATAAATAGGGGCTCTGTCCAGGCCCTGGCAAACAACTGAGTCTCACTGTTCATAGGTGGAGAGTGTACGGCTTCTGACTCAGACAGCTGGCTTGGACCAGGCCTCTCTGGATCTTTTCAGAGGAACCTGTTTAGGGCCAACTGAGAACCCTCGGTGGGGCTTCCCTTGCACAGCTCTACCTTTCTAATCCTCTCATGTGCTGTTCTGTTTTTGTTTTTGTTTTTGGCGACTGGTCAGTAGGAGATCCAAACCCTTGACCTTGGTGTTATAACACCAAGCTCTAACCAACTGAGCTAACTGGCCAGCCCTTGTTTTTGTTTTATCTATCTATCTATCTATCTATCTATCTATCTATCTATCTATCTATCTATTTATTTTTTTGGAGGCTGGATGGTAAGGGGATCTGAACCCTTGACCTTGGTGTTTCAGTTGCTATTCTGAAACTGAAGGTAGCAATGAATGCCCTGAGGTTTCTAGACCCCCAGAAGTGAGGGATAAAATTTTTGCCAACTGATTGCCTTGAATGGAGTCAGTAAACACTGTTATTGAAAATCTTAGTACTGCCAATAATTCTTTCCCGAGCACCCTCTATGTGCTAGGTGTTATGGGAATATTTATTGAGCACTGTGGTAGATTGTAAAATTAGTCCCAATTCTCTACTCATCCCTGTACCCATGTTCTTTGCAACATGACTTTGCTGCTCCTCCCATCAGGAGGTGGAGTCTGTTTCCCCACCCTTGAATTTGGGTCGGCCTTGCAATCTGGGTGTGGAAGTGAAGTCGTGCTGACTTTGAGTCTAGGCCTTGAGAGAATTTGCACAATTTCATTCTTGCTCTTGAAACCCTGCAGCTTCATGTGAACAAACTCAGGCTAGCCTGCTGGTAGATGAGGCATGTGGCACACTTGCCTTGGTTGACAGCTAGCCACCCTGCAAAAGCAGAGGCCTCTGGTTGCCTGGCAATGAGGGAGTCTAGCTGAGAGCAAAAGAACTGCCCAGCTAAGCCCGGCCTAAAATACTGACCCACAACACCATGAACTAAATAAGTAGTTACTATTTTAAGCTGCTTCTAAGTTTTGGGGGGGGGGGTTGTTTGTTTTTTTTAAGGTAGCAAAAGCTGACCAATACAAGCACTCACCAGTGCCAAGCTCTTCTGGTGTATTTGAAATCAGCAGAGTCTTGGGAGAAAAGAATTGTGCAGAGATGGTACAATCATGGGTATAACACAGTAAGAGCTCTGGAGAAGCAAACACAGTAGGAATAGAAGAGGTGGCATTTGAGCTAAGGAGCAGTCTTATCCATGTGGAGTTGGAGGGTGCAGGATAAAATTCCTGGGAGAAGGGACTGGGTGAGGTAAAACATGAATGTGGGGAACTCTGGGCTGGGGTATCAGTCAGCAGTACTTACTGAGCCTCTACTATGTACATGGAAGTTCTGAACTGGCTATCTCAGGTCTGTGTATGGCCTAGCAGGGGAGAGGAGACATCCATGTGCAAAAGTTGGCCAGAAATGTAAGGGTGGTTTTAAATGAAACAGAAGTAGCTGTGTCTGTTTTGTCCAGGTAACATGTATCTTGGCTTGGTTAGAATGGGACTCTACCCATTTGTTATTTATATCTGGTACTTGGTCTATATCTGGCAGGGACGCAGTGGCGACGAGGTTGGGGGAGGTCTTCACAGTCTTCCTGGGAAGGCAGAAGAGGGAAGAAAACATGGTTGCTCAGGCATCTTGAGGGCAGGGTCTGTGATTCATCCCAGTATACCCTAAGACACAGGGCCTTGCTTATACTAGGCATTCGGATTTAAAAGACTCACTTTGTAGATATTTCTCATCCCATTCCTTTTATTCCTATTCACCCATTGTGTTCATTTCCTAGGGCTGCTGGAACAAATTGCCACAAGCTGGTGGCTTAAAACAACAGAAATTTATTCTCTAACAATTCTGGAAGGCCGAAATCAAGGTGCAGCAGGGTTGGTTCCTTTTTGGAGGATCTGAGGGAGAATGTTTCTTGCCTGTTCCTAGCTTCCGGGCCCTGCCAACAATCCTTGGCATTCCTTGGTGTTCCTTGGCATTGCTCAGCTTACAAGCACATCGCTCCTATCTCTGCCTCCATCATCACGTAATGTTCTCCCTGCATGTCTCTCTCTGTGTCTCTTCTCTTAAGAGAACTCTAGTCACACGATGTTAGTGGCCCACCCTACTCCAGTGTGAACTTAACTACTTACACCTGCAACAACCCTATTTCCAAATAAGGTCACATTCTGAGGTACTGGGAATCAGGATCTTAACGTATCTTTTTGGGGGGATACAATTCACCCCATGACATCCACCAAGGCCCAAGGGAATGTGTGTTCCTTGTCTGACTGCCTCAACACCCAGAGGCAGAATTAAATGCTCTTTCCTAAGGACTCTCACATACTTAGTCCATGCTTCTGTTTATTAGAGCATTTGACAAGTTTATAATCTTCACTGGCTGAGGCAGGGCCTCATCTCTTTTGTCTTCCCACGTTGTCTAGTAAAGGGTATACGGTGAATCCTCTATAAACTGAGGCCTGTGAAGCGGCTCCCTTACCCCAGTGCCTATCATGGCTGGCACGGACCCTGTGCTAGACATTCCATGCGTTCCTCAATTACCCTGTGAAGTAGGTATTTATATACCTCAATCCCTAGTTTATAGATGAGAACGTTGGGCTTTTTTTTTTTTTTTCTAAGAGATGACCGGTAAGGGGATCTTAACCCCTGACTTGGTGTTGTCAGCACCATGCTCTCCCAAGTGAGCCACGGGCTGGCCCCAGAACGTTGGGCTTTAGAGAGGTGAGGTAACAGTGTAGACAGAACGACTGTCTCTTAAAAACCTGAAGGAGGGCATCATATGAGAAGTTCCCTATTCTCCCTGTTCACGTTTTAAAGTACCCCGATCTGGCTAGTTCAACTCACCCATTCCCCTGAGAAAACTAAATCGAGCACCTCGGTTCTATTGATCTCGGGACGTGTTGCACGTTCCCGTCTACACCCCCGCCCTCCCGAGCATTCTGCCTCCAGAAGCCGCACACAAAGCGGTTCCTCCCTGCCTTCGGGAGCGCGCGGGCCGCCTGTCAGCGCGCGCCATTCCCGGGCGCGGCGGGGGAGCCGCGTGCTGATTGGTTGCGCGGGGCCCGGGCCCCGGGCCTGCTCCCGCCCCGGAGCCTGTCCTGACGCGGCGATTGGCTGAGCGGCCGTGCGCGCAGAGCCCGCCTCCCCGCGCGCCCCGCCCCGCCGGCTGGGAACTTGCATGCGGCGCCGCCGGCGGCCGAGGGAGCGTGACTGCGCTGCGCAGGGCGCTAGGAGGCATTGTCGCCGTAAGTGGAGCCGAAAGCGGCCCGGAGCGGGGCCACACGCTTCGTGCCCCGCAAAGTAAACGTGGTCTGCGGCTAAGCGTTGCAGGGGCTGGGGGAACAAGGGAGAGAAGTGTCCCGGTTTTTGCAGCGGACCCTCCCCTCCCCCAGGTCACCCGGTGGAATGGAGCAGCGGCGCACCAGCGGCGGCTCTTGTAGCGCCAAGGGGCTCGGCACGCGCGGTGCTTGCTCGCACACTGCGGCTGGACCCCCAAGGCTCGCGGGAGTGGGTGCCGCGGTGTCCAGGAATAGGGAGCAGGGGGAAGCGCTCCCGGGCGGGCCTCCATTCCCCGCGGGGGGCGCCCTTGCTAGGAGAGGCTGCTGTGTATTTCGTCCCCGAAGCGACACTTTCGGGGTTTGCTTCCGCTCTGGGGAACTGCAGACGCCTGCCCCAGAGCGGGCCTCTTGGCCTCCGGACAGTGTGGGAGGCCCCCGTCCCTTTGTGATCACCAGCGTTCTCCCCTCGCCCTGCTTTATTCTCTCTAGTCCCCGCCTGCCGGGCGAGCGGGGCGCCGGCGACAAGGAGCCATTGGCTGCGGGCACCGGGGGTGGGTGAGGCGGGCCCCTGGCGCTCGGTGCGCGGGGACCCTGGCCTGGCCACCGCGTACCGTCCTGGGAGGCGCAGCCCGAGGATGCCTAGATGCCCGTAGGGGAGCACGCGCCGGCTCCCCGAGCCCCATGTCGCAAAAACAAGGCGCCGGCGCGTCCCACTCACGCCGCAGCGGGCTTCGGTCCCTTGGGTGGGAAAGTGGGTCAACTCTGTTCAGGTCTAGAGTGGGCTTTGCGGGATCAGGGGATGCAATGAAACCCGCGCCCCTCTCCTCCTCACCCGTTCCCCAGCTTGGCATGGTCGAGAGGCCCCGCTGGAGCCGGCGGCGGGGGCAGCTTGCACACATGGCTCAAGAGGCTCGGGTTGCCGGTCGGAGCGGCCGCCAGGCTCTAAAGTTCACAATTGACCACGCCGGTAACTAAATATAGGAGCAGCTGGTGCGGTCGGGGTGTCAGGGCGGCTCCTTGTAGACTTCTCGGGACTGCAGATAAGGTAGAGTTCTCGCTGTTAAGGGCAGGAGTCGGGGGCCGCTCTCAGGGTTTAAGCAAAAATCCCCCTTTCTCCAGCTTTGTATCCGGGTGAAACCGGGTTCTGGTCTGGCCATACAGGTGAACCGTATTGCCCGCTCCCACAAAGCCGGACAACTTTTTTTCTGGCATTCAAACTATTGTATCCACACTTCCTGTGTGCACCTGTTTAATCCCCTATTTATCAGTATTGACTTAGTGTGGGAAGCACTTAACGGTTTGCAACGTCCTTTCTCAAAAGTTAGGTGTCAGTTATTTCTCACAACAACCCAGTGAAGAAGGCAATATTTCCATTTTACAAATGGGGCTGCTCAGAACACAGTTTTCCAAAACTCTGGTTGAATTAAGCTTCTCTGCTCAGAAACCTTCTTGGTTCCCTGCAGAGAAAGGGAGAAAAGACAGCTTTCTAGGAGGACCGCCAGCTCCCTCCCCCCGTAATCTGGGAACAGGCTGGCTGCTGTCTCCCTCTCTTCTGCATCTCTGTGCACCTGCTGCTCAGATCCTGTCTCTGTTCCTTCCCCCTGGACATGCCACATGCCTTCATGGCTCCCTGGGCCTGGCGTCTTGGCTGTACTGGCATCCGGCTCATTCTCCCTCCCAATGGGAAGCTTGGTCTGGTTCATACCCTGACTCTGTTCCTTTACTCCCTCAGTGTGGGCCTAATAGAAGGTGCCCAGGAAATGTTTATTGGATTTTAACATTTCCCAGGAAAGCAGAGTTGGGGGTGTGTGGAGAGAGAAATGGGGGGAAACAGCAGTAAGTAGCACGTTAAATCCTGTGTAGAAGGATCTCTGAGATTTGGAGTGCATTCCTTGAAATTTTCTAGGGTCCCCCTTCCAGTGCCTGGGACTGGCTGGAGCTAGTAGTGCCATCTGGCTAGGGTTCCCCAAGCACAGATCAGGCCCATGTGGGCTGATGGTTCCTGTTTCTCCCCTTTGGGGCATTCTCTGACTCTTTATCACCTGCATGTGGGGTTGGCCTCAAGGAATCTAGAACTTGGGCCTCTGGTTGTCCTGGGGCCCTGTGCTTAGGTTCTGGTCCCAGGAGGGCTGTCTTATGTTCTGATTGCTTGAGTGATGTTGACATGGTGATTTTGGGTTGACTCAAATTGATATAGACAGGAGCCCCTCACATTGTAGGGGCAGCCCTGCCTTGGGGGTTTACACTCAGAGTGGGTCCACAGCTCTCTGTCACTTGTGTGACATGAAAAATTTTCTATCTTCTCAAAAACAATTTAAAACAAAAAAGAAAAGAACAGCTTTCTTTATTTTTTCTTCCCTCCCCCTGCCCCACAGCCTTTCTCTCTGGACTCTTGTTACATGCTAAATAAATTCTTTCTCTATTTTGTCAAACAATCCCAGCCTTGGGGCTGAAAGGAATAATAAGTGAAGTTGGACAGTCTTGTTGGTGCCCTTTTGGTGGCCCAGGAGCCCACTCCAGCCTCCTGTCATTCCAAGTTTGTTCTTTCTTCGGTCTGGGGCCCTCTTACCCCATCTTGGGACCAATACAGCATGCGACCCTGCTACCCTTCCATCTCACAGCCCTGCCTGTGCCTGTCATCTGGCCTGAGAGAGGGTCTGTCATCTGGACTTTATGAAGCAATTCTTCCTTGTGGGGGAAGGGGTAGTTTTAGGTGAAAAGAGGGTGGCTTCCTAGCCAGTTAGTGAGGGTGGAGATTTTAGGCAGTAGGAACCTTTTAGGGGTCTAGGGCACATCTATGCTGTACCCAGAGCATCCTCTGGAATACAAGAGGCCCTTCTTCCTAGTGAATTTTTCTGACACCCATACTTTACATGTTGTTCCTGTTCCTGTATCCACTCTGACCCACATTATAGGGTGTCTGAGTTTGCCACCAGTGGTGAGGTTTTCAATCAGACTTGTTTTCCTCAATGACTTATGGCACCACATGCCCCTCCTGGTGGCAGCTAGTAGAATTGCAGGCATATTGCCTGATTGAAAGTAATCAGCTCAAGGGCCGCCAGTGGCTCACTCAGGAGATTGTGGTGCTGATAATACCAAGGCCACGGGTTTGGATCCCATATAGGGATGGCTGGTTCGCTTACCTGGGAGAGCATGGTGCTGACAACACCAAGTCAAGGGTTAAGATACTGGTCATCTTTAAAAAAAAAAAAAAAAAAGTAATCAGCTCAGCAGATCCCACTAGGGTCAGCACAGACCCTGGGCAGCATGGCGATTTATCTTCCCTTCCCTCTCTGCATCACAATTGCCTTAGTGTTGTTCTTCAGAAAACTCTTCCTCATCAGAATCACATCAGAGCTACTTCCTGTATTTCCTTCTTCCCTCTTTAGTCTTATGTTCTATACCTATTACCTGTAGATGCTCAATAAATGTTTATGATTATTGATGAGGAATATCGGAGATGGGGAAAGGAGGGAGCATGGTATGGTGGGAAAAGTTCAAGGCTGGGAATTAGGAGACCTGGGTTCTTTGTTTCCCTCTAGCTGATTTGCTCCCCTCTTGGGTCCTCAGTTTTCTCATTCGTGAAGAGTTAGAAAAAGGCACCAAGATTCCAGCAACATTGCTGTGATTCAGGCTTAGGGGGATGGTCTTAATGGCAGCATGGTGAAGGTGTTGGGCCCAGTTTGTCACAGTCCTTCCTATTGCCTACTGTCCTACCTTGGCCCAACCTTATGCAGGTTGCCTACCCAGCACCTTTAAGCATTTGAATTTATGGCCCTTTCCAATTTCAACAGTGTTTTAGATTTGTCCTAAGAGTCATTTGACTCTTGAAACCCAAATAATGGCTGTTGATCATCATCATCACCACTGGGCATACTAACTAAACATCTGTATTTAGTGTGTGGTATAAAGTTCAGGGAGAAGCACTGTATAGATCTACTCTCTGTCCCAAGCAATCTGCTAACAGGCCAATGAGGGGGACAAGTATGTATAAACATATTTCTAAAAGCTCATGAACAACCCAAGTGACTTGTGCTAAGTCATTAAGTGCTGCTAAACCTCAGAGGGAGGAGAGAATACTGAGGGCTGGGACCTTCAGGGAAGACTTCCTGGAGGTGGAGAGATGGAAATTCTACTCATTCCTTAGAGACGAGTTCTACTGAGTTGTTTGTTCAGAGTCACATAGGTATTAACCTGGGATTAGATGGTAGTGTCATATCTGCACATGTGCTGTTTTATCCTCTAAACTGGCATTTATTGAGCTGGGCTCTGAGGTAGGCAGGTATATATTTTTTGTTCAATCTTCGTTTTAACCCAGCAAGATGGGTGTTAATAGATCTCCTGCTCTGTTGAAGAAACTGGGGCCCAGAGTAGTTAAGAAACTCCCAAGCCTTTTCAGCCAATAAATGGTAAAGTTGGGCATTTGGCCTGTCTCTAAACAACGGTATTTTCCCAATGTACCATGTGTCTCACACCTTCAGTGTCAAGCTCCTTGGTGGAACACATGCACGTACAGAACACACACTAACTCCCCTAAGGAGATGTGTGGGCTTGGCCTTGCCTGCCCTGCTTATCCAGTTGAGCACATGGAAACTTTTTCTTGGTGTCTGCTAGCAGCTCTGAGCACTGTCTGAGCACATGCCCCTTCTCTCTGCCCTTTACATTCTTATGCCTTTGACCCTTGAAGTTCATTGAACTTCATTGAGTTCATTGGAGTTCCTTGGAAGCTGGGATTCAGGTCTGGGGGCAAGGAAGGGTGCTGACCTTGGCCCCAAGTTTATTCCTCTCTTTGTGGGGTGCTGCTGGTGGTGATGTGGGGGACTTTGTAAAGAAGAGGACACTGGATGTGGAACTGGGCTGATGTGATTATTGCCAGTTACTCACTTTGACTTTGGCCAGGTCACTTCACCCCTCTCTATGCCTGCGTTTCCTTCTCTAATAAACAGGGAGTTGGGGACATTTCTATGTTTTTATGTCTTAACACCTTATAATTTTGTCTTCCTAACCCTTCTTTCAGCCTCTTCTTACCTAGTGATCCAATTTCCCTTCTTTCATACCCTGCCCCCCATAGATAAACTCAGCATCAGGCTGATAATCAGGTCTGCATGCTAATACCATAACCTTCCCTCTACATTGGCACATGGGAAGGGAATTCTTAGAGACCACCCACTAGACAGTGAGCTCTAATCAGCTCAAAGGGCTCTGATTTGTCTTTGCGTCCCCACTTTTCTCTAGGCAGGAGGAGCCTGGCAGAGACAGGTGGGGTGAATAGGGGAGATGGAGTAGTTGCCCTAGGAAGTGTGGACAGGGCTCTGGCTCAGAGGCTGTGGGATGGCCAGTGTCTTTCCCCTGCAGCTGGCTGCACCCTGCCACCTCTCCAATGCTCTGCCTCTTGAGTGAGTCACAAGCCAGTGCACACGTGAGTTTTCACGCCTGGCCACTTGTCAGGCCCAGGCTCCATGTCTGGTGAGGTCACACATGTTGATCCTCCCAGAGAACTGGTAGGGCCTGGCTACCTTCACCCTCTGACAGGCAGATCAGCCCCTGCAAAGGCCAAGCTGGATGTGGCCTTGACTTTGGGCTCCTCAGGAAGAGGTGAGTGGCCTGGGGCCCTCCCCGCAGGTTTCCCTTCAGCCTGGGTCCCTGGTGAGGGTGATGCTGGGGATGCATGCTGGGTGGGACCCCGGCTGTCAGGCAGGCGCTTCATGGCCCTGTGTCTTCTCCAGGCTTGGGCCCCTTTGTGAGCAGCAGACCGGCCTGGGGGCTGGCATCAGGACACCTGTGTCTGCATGCTGAAGAAGATGGGTGAGGCTGTGGCCAGAGTTGCGAGGAAGGTCAACGAGACGGTGGAGAGTGGCTCCGACACCCTGGGTGAGTGAGGGCAGGGCTCTTCCAATGCCTATGAGCGGTTGGTGAAATCAGCTTAGAAATGAAATAGAAAGATGAAAGAGACAATACCAGTTTGCACCCTTGTCATGAGGATAACTGTTTCCTGGAACTTTTATTGCAACTGCGTGTAGTTTGTATATAGCAGGATCCAGTCTAAGACATACTTACTATGGGTCATGGTCAAAGACACTCATAAGTTTCCTTTTTTTTTTTTTTTTTTAAAGATGACCGGTAAGGTGATCTTAACCTTTGACTTGGTGTTGTCAGCACCACGCTCTCCCAAGTGAGCTAACCGGCCATCCGTATATAGGGATTCAAACCTGTGGCCTTGGTGTTATCAGCACCGCACTCTCCCAAGTAAGCCATGGGCTGGCCCCGATACTCATAAGTTTCAAACACAAAGAGTGGTAGAGCCTGTTTGCTTAATGCTGTTGACTCTGAGTGTGTGTGTGCCCTTGGTGAGAATACGGAGCTGGCACTGGCTGAGTAGCCCCAGGTACCAGGCTCCGTGCTGGGTGCCTCATGAGTGTCATCTTGAATCTTCACAACTTCCCTGTGATGAGTAATACCCTCCAGGAGTGTCTAGCCTCAGTCTTCAGATGAGGAAGAGATGGAGGGGTGACGGCAAGGTGGGTTTTTTGAGGTTGCACAGCCAGGAGACCTCTTAGCACTCCACTGTTTTACTTGAATCATGTCTTTCTTTTTTTTTTGCTTTTTTCTTATTTATTTTCTGAATTGGTCATAGCGTGTGAGCCTGTCAGTTACTCCAAGACTCCATGCATTTAAGCAAATCATCCCATTTAATTGAATTCATCAGATATTTATTGACTATCACCATGTGCTAGGGGCACCAGAGGATACAGTGCAATTACCTGTGTGTATGTGTACCTGTGTGTGTATGCGTGTATGTTCGTGTGCTTGTGTGTGTGTCACCAACTGGCATGTCAGCACCACCGTAGAGCCACAAGTGTGTTGTGGGAACCCAGAGGTCTGGAGCACAGTCTTGCATTGGGGATGATTGTGCAGATGGACAGATGGCATTTGAGTCAGGCCTTTGGTCTGTGGAGAGGAATTTCACAGGCAGGTAGGAGTGTGTGTGCATGTGTCTGAGTCAGCCTGTTTGTCTCACAAAGGAGCATTTCCTTGGTGGTAACTGAGCAAAGACTAAGAGACTGAAAGGTAGAGCATTTCTGTGAGCAGCCACTCATCAGGTGTGGCTGCAGTGCAGGCTCCTGAGGCAGGGGGTGGTGGCCCAGGAAGTGGAGGGACACTCAGCCTTCAGGATGAGATTGGTCACTGCTTCTTCCAGGAAGCCCTCAGCCCCATGCCCTCCACCCCTTGCTCCCTTCCTCCTCTGTAACACCCATTCAACATCCCTAGAGGGCAGGGACCCCGTCTCCCCACTGTGTTTTAAAGCCTTGCACAGTGTCAGGCACTTCGTAAGCATGTGGAGGTATCTGCTGAACTGAGCTAAGGTGAGCATCTCCTCTGTCAGCAAACTGACTTGAAGATTGTCATTGGTGTTGGAGGGAAGTCTCTGGGGAGAGCCTCAAGCTGGTGAGGTGATGCTGTGGGCCCTCAGTAGAGGAATTCTGGAATTCTGTGCCTGTCCCTAGTGCTTACCCCAGTGTTCAGGATTCTTCACTACTAATACTGTCATTGAAAGGCAGGCTTGTCCCACAGGCCTGAATTTGAATCCCCTACTAGCCACCTACTAGCCGCGCACCTTAGCAGATTGTTTAACCTCTCAGCCTTGGTTTCTTCATCTATAAAATGCGAATGGTGAGTGTGTCTGCCTCATCAGGGGACTTAGGAGTAATTGTTAGGTCTTTAAGGTGCTTGGCATGTAGGGAGCTCAATAAATGATAGCTATTATTTTTAATTTTTTCTCCTCCCTAAACCTGGAGGTGGGGCCCAAGTCCTGCCCCACTCAAACACACCTCTTCCAGGTGTCAGCCAGCCAGGTGTCTGCTGGGCCTGCTTCACATTGCCTTCCAATGGGGAGCTCAGTGCAGATTGACAATCTCTGAGGTCAGTAACCTACCCCTGCCTTAAAAGTTCACAGGAGAGAGGGACACCTGCAGTTCCCTGTCATCCAGAGGTGTTAAGAGTAGGGGGCAACTGGAGAGGGAGAGCTGAGTTCTGACAGGCGAGTGGGGAGAAACTTTCGGAGGAGGTGCTGTTTGAGAGAGGATGTTTCAGGAGGCACCGTGAGGAGACAGGTTTTCCAGGCAGTGGTAGGGATGCACCTGAGTTGGGGGACTGAGTTGTCGCTACAGCATGGGGGAGGTGGTGCCAGATGGTGCTCGGCAGGTGGAGAGCCTCGAAGGCCGTGTTAAGGAGCCTGGACTTCAACCTCTGTGGATCAGAGATAACAAACTCAGATGTCTGTCAGGTGGGGGTTCCTGTGAACTGAAGAGTGAACACCCTGCCTTGGGTGAAGTGTGCAGGGCAGCTAGGTAGGACATGCTGTGACCAGCTCCCATGCACAACCTGGGGGCTGTGAGCCAGGATCATGAGTGTGGTGAAGCTCTAGTCAACTTGGGAGAAGATTTAGTTATGCAGTCTTGGCTGAAGCTGGAGACTTTCATGTGGAGGGGACTGAGTCTTTAAAGTTAGGGTTGAAAAATAGCTGGAACTTTTTACCACTACAGTGGTCAGAGAAGTAACAAAATGTCAGAACAGGCCATTGCAGGTGCCTGCAATCCTGACCCTGGGAAAGTAGAGCTGACTAGGCTCATACAATATAAAGGGTCTGGGGTTTAAGCAGTCAGCACATATTGAGCACCTGCTGTGTACAAGGTGCTGGGGGGCTTCCGGGGTTACGTGCAGTAGAATCCTCAATCTGGGACCAGCCCACCACCCGTGAGACAGTCAGAGAGCAGTGAGCGACACATAGGTTCCATGCTAAGCTGTGTTGGACAGACCACAGGTTGTTGTAATTCAGTGGGAGATGTTGCTAGATGTTGAAATAGTACAGGAAGGCTTTCTGGAGGAGGTGGGAATTGAACTGGGTCTTGAAAGGTAGATGAAGTGACTCAGTATGGTTCTCATTTAAAAAAAGCAAACAATCTGAAGCAGCCTAAATATCTAGCACCAGAAAATTGCTTAAATTTTGTTATAGCTATACAGTGCAATTTATGGAACCATTAACAGTGCTGCATAACATTTCACTATGCATTTAAATAAAGACTGGCACATTCTCATGTATAACACAAATTGGAAAAAAACAAGGATCCTGAACTGTATATATAGTAAGATATAATTGTGCTAAACATGTGTATATATAATGAAAAGTAAATGCAAGGAAATAAAACAAGATGCAAATGGGAGTTAGGAAATACTATTCTGCTTTTTCTAAATGTTCTGTGATGAACATATTACTCTTCAAATTAGACAAGAATAGATTTTAGGGAAAGGACACCGACTACGGAAGGTAGGAATAAAACACGTCACAACAACAGACAGGAGGTCAGGGGTAGCTCATTCTCCAGGCCCATGCCCTTGGGAGAGGTCGGGGCTTCCCTGGCTTCTCCCCTTCTGCTGGGTTCCCTCCCTGTGTGTGCAGGCCCAGTGGAACAGCTGCTCAAAGCTGCAGGTATCTCTCTGCAGAGCGGGAGATCCCCTATGGAGACTGGGCTGGTAAGCACTTAGTTACGGGCTGGCTCTCACCTTACTCAGGTAGGTAACCTGAGTAAGCACCGCTCATGCTCCTCCGGCACTCCCAGGTGCACCGCCGGAGCCAGAGCCAGAGCCAGAGCCAGAGCCGGAGGGCTTGCTCCCCCTGTAACCTGAGCTGTGGATCCCAGCCCTTCTTGCCCCACTCAGGCTCTTCATCCCCCAGAAGTGGGCTCCTTTCCATCTGGCCCTCAGCTTCAGTTGAAGACACTTTCCTACCAGTTCCTCATCTATCCTTAGCATCATCTTCTAGACCCTCCCAATGAGCTGAGCAGGCAAAAAGCAGGAACTTAGCACTGTACTCAGCCTCCCTCCCCTGAATCAGGCTCTCCTCCCTGCCCGCCTTGGCTCCCCACATTAGCACTTTGTAAAGGCCTTGTACCCATCTGAGCCTCCCTGGGAGCTCGTACCCCAGAGGGGCCCCAGTCTGACCTCACCCTTCTTTCCAGCCAGTGTACCCTGGGGCCAGGCTGCTCTGCACCCCTGTCCTCTCCAGGCAGAGCTCCCAGGTCTGCTGTGTGCTTTGGGGTTGACTTTAAATAATAATTGTTGTCTCAGAGGAGCAGGATTTGGAGAAGTCTGGTAGTGCGCAGCAGGGCAGGGCATAGCTGGCTGGGATGGAGGCATTGGCGAGGTGGGAGGAAGGAGAGAACTGGCCTTTATCTGGGGCCTGCGGGTGTTGGGCTGCGAGCTGGGTACATTCACATTCAACATTTCTTCTAATCCTTTTTACAGTCTTTCTCCCTTCCTGACTCAGGATTCTTGTCTGTGTTCATTTCTAGGAAATTCTGTTGCTTTCCCACCTCCCCCCGCCAGTCTCTTTCCTCATGGGCTCCTCATTCTATGCCTGCCTCGCCTTTTTAAGTTTTCTCTCTTTATCTCTCTGTGCTACATCTGAGAAGTTTCCTCAGCTCCACCTTCTATTTCACTAAGTGTTCTTGTATTTAATCTGTTGAACCATCGATTGAGTTTTTAATTTTTAAGACTATTTTTATTTTCAAAGGTTCTATTTGGTTCTTTAAAAAATCTGATTTAATGTACTCTGGTTTCTCTTCAGTTCCAATAAATCTTTTGCCTCTTACTAAAAAATCTGATTTTAGCAAATAATAACTTATTTCTTTCTTATGTTTTAACTATTTTTTTATTTCTTTAATCATGCGACAATCCTTGTTTTTTAATCTTTGCTGTAATAGAAATAACAGGATGTTCGTAGGGGTCTGAGCCTGCTGTTGCTCACAGCAGGCTGTTCTGGGTGGATTTTATGTAATTTTGGACCCTCTCTGTTCCTGTCTGTAATCCTGGGT